TTTTAAAACTTACTTTAAAATTATGGATAGTGTCCTAACTGGTTTGGCTCCGTGGATAGAGCAGCAGGCTGCAGACACAAGGGTCCCAGGTTCAATTCCGGTCAGGGGCATGTACCTTGGTTGCGGGCACATGCCCAGTGGGGAGTGTGCAGGAGGCAGCTGACAGATGTTTCTAGCTTTCATCCCTCTCCCTTCCTCTCTGTAAAAAAATCAATAAAATATATTTTAAAAAATTATGGATAGTTGCTCATATTTTTAAAAATCCATCCATTGGGCACTATAACCTGGATTTCCATTTCATTTGAACAACTGGAGGGAATGGCAACAAGTGTTGTCCCTCCCAAATGGCTCTAGTCAGCTAGAGCTGGGTCATGGCGGCCCATTTGGACGAGCCATGAGCTATCTGTTGAGTTTGCTGCGTACACCATCTCCCTACATTTTCTCTTAACCCTGGTCCTGTCTTATGAGTTTGCAAACCTGCATGTCCACCAGGGCACTTGCCAACGTGACTTGCAAAGATCCCTCAGTACATCTCCAATGATCGGATGAAAGGAGAACAATCGCTCCCCTGAACATGTGAAAGGAAAAAGAGAAAACAGACGAGAGCCGGTGCCAGGAACGGGCACTCAGGACAAGAAGAGGGTGAGACCAAGAAGACAGGGATGACCGCGGGGGACATGAGGGGCTTGTGCTAAGAAGGGGAGAGCTGAAGTGCCTGAGGTTGCTGCCTGTCCCTTTGCTCACCACCCCTGCTCTCCGACCTGGTAGCTGACCTCATGCGGACCCATAGGGAAGACCATAGGGGTCAGAGTTCAAGCTGACCACCTGAGCTGTGCTACAGGCTCACCTGTAGACATCGCTCCCAGGCGGTGGGAGGCCAAGCATCACAGCTGCGGAAGGCGGCATTCTAAAGTAACCCAACGAGCTACACCCTTGTTAATCCCTCAGCCCGGAGTGGCTGGTGAATGTGACAAACACTGTCACGATTAGGTTGCATTATATGGCTGAAGAGGTTTTGCAGGTATCCTTAGAGTTTCTAATTAGTATAACTTTGAGTTAATCAAAAGGGAGCTAATCCTGGGTGGCTCTGACTAATGGGATGAGTCCTTTAAGAGAGACTCTGGGGGCCCTGGGTATGCCAGAGGCTCAAGGCCTACTTACCATATGCAGGCGTGCAGGCAAGGACACGGCAGCATGACTGTGTGAAAGGCCCCTTTGCCCTCCGCATGCAAGAGGGCAATGACTCAGCAGTAGCATGATGGAAACTGCGCAATCACACCCTATGGAACCTGCTTATGTTAATGTAGCATGAGGGTCCCTCATTGGCACCTTCGTTTGAGCAGGTAGATAAGGTGCCGCTGACCAGCCAGTTTGGGGCTGCTTTGTTCGCAATAAAGCATGTCCCACCTACCTGCTGCCACCCGTGTGTTCTTCCCATTTCCTGCACCCAGAGGGGTCCAGTCCCTGGCTGAGCAACTTGCCCCAACAGAGACTTCCCTGGGAGAGATCCGCCTGCCGGCCTTGGAGAAGCGTGCCATGATGGCTCTGCAGCTGCAAGCAACTGAATTCTGCCAACAACTGAGCTTGGAAGAGGACGCTAGCCCCTGATGGCACCACTGCCCCAGGCCTCACCTGGACTGCAGCCTGTGAGATCTGAGCAAAGGGCCGGCTAAGTCGGGCCCAGAATCCTGACCCATGGAAACGGCCAGATGATGGGTGTGTGTGCTGCTCTAAGCTGGCAGTTTCTTAGGCAGCCATAGAGAACTGATGGCAAAGGGAAGGAAAGTCATAGCAAAAGAGAAGGTGTCGGCATTGCTTGGAGCCAGCAGGGATAGCTGGAGGTGAAAAGAAGGCATAGAGAGCAGTTTAAACACGCCACGAAGAGCTGCTCCGGGCACTCCACATGTATTATTTCATTGACACTTCCCCCGCTTCTGAAAGCAGTTCTAAGCCCACTCTGCATGACGGTGCGGCATGTCTGCAGGACTTTAATAACCCACTCCAGCTCACAGGGCAGCTAGATTCAAATGATGCTCTTCCTGATGCTAGGAGCTCCCGTGTCTCCTCTGCATCGCACCCGGCTCCCTCTAGGCCTCAGAGAGGAGGTCAGAGGGCAGTAGGGCAGGGAAGAGCTGCTGAGGTGACTGCCCAGGTGATCAAAGTGCAGGCCAGAGCCTGGCGCACGCCGCTGCCTCTGCCCTGCTCCCACAGCACAGCAGGCAAGCTGCCCCCCGGGGAGCATCCTCGTCCAGTTCCACGAATGTTTTTCCCACAAAAACATACTTTCATAGAGAGAGGGAGAAGGATGAGCTCCTATAGGCGCATATTTATATACATGATATTCCCCAGAGGGCAGCTCCACAGCATGATGGGAAAACTGAGGAGGACTATGGTTACCAGCATTTCCCAAACGCACTCAGAAAAGAAACTATGTCCCCCCACCCCGCCCGCCCCCGACACACACACACAGGCCTGCAGAGGAAAAACAATTTACTCCTGTCCGACTCAGCCAGGTCATGCAGACCCTTATGTTCAATGCTGGCTTCAGCTGTTTTTATCACAACTTTCACTAAAAAAAAAAAAACAGGTCTTTGCCAAGTTGCCTTCTTCTCGGCCCCACAATCCTCAGGATAAAAATCTGCTTGGCTTTCTTTTGTTTTTAAAGTTGCTCAAAATAGGCTTTTTTTCCCTCTACGCAGATAATTTAGCAATGTTCCTTATCCCGGCATCTCTCCCGCACAGAGACCCCTCCCCCACCCCGCCATGGCCATCTCCGAGCTGAGCTGGCAGGGTTCCTTCAGGCTCCTGTGCCTCCCCGTCACCAAACCTCCCTCCACTTGACCTGTTTTCACGGAAGACCAGGCGCCTGGGGCTCCACTGAGGACAGAATGCTGGTAGCAAGAAGGGTCCCATGCTGTGTGCAGGCAGAACAAAGCCCCCCCTTCCCATGTTTACATCCTAACCCCGGCAATCGGCAATCGGTGAGGATGCTCAAGTGCGTGGCAAAGGGGAATAAGGTGACAGATGGGAGGGATTAAGGTTGATAATCAGCTGACCCTGCACTAGGGTCACACAGGGGCCTTCAGTGTGCAGGGGGAGGAAGGAGAGAGGTCGGAGCCATAGCGCAGGGTGAGAACTTGACCCACCGCTGCTGGCTTTGCAGGTGAGGAAGGGGCCCTGGCTGGTGGGGCTCAGCTGGTTGAGCATCGAACAGAAGACACAGACGGACTCTAGAAGCTGGAAGGCGAGAAAATGACTTTCTCCTAGGTCAGCGGTTCTCAACCTGTGGGTCGCGACCCCTTTGGCGGTCGAACGACCCTTTCACAGGGGTCGCCTAAGACCATCCTGCATATCAGATGTTTACATGACGATTCATAACAGTAGCAACATTACAGTTATGAAGTAGCCGCGAAAATAATTTTATGGTTGGGTCACCACATGAGGAACGGTATTTAAAGGGCCAGAAGGTTGAGAACCATTGTCCTAAGTCCTCCTGAGGAACCCAGCCCTGCAAACACCTGGATTCCAGCCCGCTGGGACCCAGGTCCGACTTCTGACCTCCAAACCGCAGAATAACAAACCCTCACTGTTTGGAGCCACCGGGCCTGTGAGGGCAGGACTGAGAGCAGTGCACTCTGTATGGGGCTGTTGCCTCTGGACGGGCTGCAGGGCCAGGCGCGCTCCCAAGGGACATGGGTGGGCTTGTCTGCCTCCCCTGCTTTCGGACTCATCAGGGGCTGGTGTCTCTCTCTCCCAGAGACCTTGTTTATACAGAAGGCTGGTCAGAGCCCACGCGTGCACTCCAGAGCCAGGGAGTTCCGGCAGAGGCCCAAACTCGGGGCAGTAAACGCTGTTCCAGGAGTTGGCCTGGCATCAGGTCCCCATCTGTCACCAGCTGATCTGTTAGGGTCCCGGGGTCTCCTGAGACTTAGGCAGGCGCGAGTGCAACAGATGGTACCTGGAGGCCCCGCGTGCGCTAAGGTTGCAAATAAATGCAACCCACCCAACTTTACGTACGTAGGTAGTCTGCGGGGCTTGGGGTGTGTGTTTTAGTGTGTTTTGTTTGTTTTTGTTTTGTTTTATCTTTCTGTGCCGCTTCTTGGAAGCAGGGTCTTTGTGTCATTTGCTGATGAGCTTGGAACACCTGGCGGTCTTTGGTGTGGAACGGATTGTGCCCTGAGGAGGGACTCACTCCTAGGAGCGCCCTGGAGCTTTGCCATGCTCCCAACCCCAGCTCTGACGCTCCCCTGCGCCAGGTACCTTCCTTCCTCGGACCTCACCCTCCCAGCGCACAGAAGGGCGTTCAACTGGTGCGTCTCCCCGATGGCGCGCACCGTGTCCCGCGGATTGAGCCGACGATGGAGTCAGGTTTGTCCAGAAAGCGCAGGTCCCCGAAAAACGAAAGGCTCTTCATTTTCTCCGTGGACGTGCATCCAAGTCTGACCCTCGAGCTGCGAGATGTGTAAAGCCTGTGCCTGTGACCCTCAAAGGGGAGAGAATGTGGGGACGTCAGTCTGTTGGGAGCCCTGCTTCTCTGCAAGTGGCCCGGCTTATGTGAGAAGCGCGGGGCGCAGCGAGTCCCGCAGGCGCGCGTCCCTCCCGGCGGGTTCCCGCCGCGCCCGCCTCCCAGGCGCAGCCCCAAAGCCCGGCGGCCGGAGAGCCCCGCGGCTCCCTGTCCCCCACCCCGGCCCAGGCCCCTCTCCGTGGCCATCCGTGAGCCCGGGTGCCCCGCAGCCCTCCCTCCTGTCCTCCTGGCCCCTTCCCTCTGCGCCTCGCCGGGGTGGGACCCGGGCCCCTCCTGCGTCCGCTCGGCCAGCTGCAAAGAGTTAAGAGCGGCTCCCGGGACGCCTCTGGCTGCTCCTAGTCCCTCGTCCCCGCTCGCCGCTCCTGATTGGCCGAGCTCCTGTCAGTAGTAAAAAAGTATCAGATAGCAAACGTGGGACCTTCATAAAGGCGTGGTGTGATACTCCTCGATCGCCCGCGGCCTATGACATCAGCCGAGAACGCCTGGGATGCCGCCGCTCGCGGCCAGACGCAGGAGGAGGAGGGTCCCGCCGCCTAGGAGTTAACAGCCCGCACAGCGAGGGGGAGCCACCAGCGCTCTGGGGACACTGGTTTCGGTCCCTGGCGGCCACTGTCCTCCTACCCAGGAGAGCTCCCGGAGAGCTGGATGAATTCTGGGTTGCTAGCTGCGCGCAGCTGGGCTCCTGGGAGCCGGTTCCTGGTGGAAAACAGGGGGCGTCTGGCCACGGGACCAGCGGCTCGCTGAGACTCAACATGACCCTCCTGGGGGCTGAGCACTCTTTGCTGATTAGGAGCAAGTTCAGATCAGGTAGGGCTGAGGCATCCAGCGTTCCTTCCTAAACTTTCCTCTCCTGCACTTCTCAGCTCTACAGGGCTTTCCAGTACATGTCTCAGAGCCCGCGCGCGCGCGCGCGCGCGCGCACACGCGGCTGCTTCAACCTTGTCCCCTAAAAGCACATTGGGAAGTGAAAATGTTACTCGACCTTGGGGGCCTTTAATGTCTTCCGTTTTAAGTACTTGGAGTTGCTGAGTGTGGTTTTTGTTTGTGAAAAGGCCAGTCTTTTCCTTTTATTTATTTTATTTTTCTCTGTATCTGTGAATAGAAACTTTGGCAGGATATCCAAAAGGAACAAGTTTGAAAATGATCAAATGAGGGATCTTGAGTTTGTGGCTGCATAACATTAGTTAACATTGCTGAGAATATGAACCTGATGCTGTGTATCAGATTACAGGGATCACTTAAAACGTAGCTAATCCAAACAAATGTATTTCCCAAAAAAGTCACTGGGGGGAAGTAAAAATAGCCAATTTGGCGCACAACAAGCATTTCAAATGACATCACTGTAGAGGGGGAAAAAAGTCCAGTGCCACAAATATTTTTTCCCAAACCATCCGATATTTATAAATGGAGAGTTTTTTTCCCCCAAATATCTGTGTTAGTGGCGCATGGAGAAACTTCTCACAGGACGCTGAGTCAAGGTGAGTGGGAGAGGTGGGGACTCTAAGTGCTGCTCACAAGGGTTGGTCCAGGCGCCCAGGGAAGGTATGAGTGTGGAATCAGGCACAGACACTTGCCTTCCTAAATTCTTCTCCATAACTCTGTGTAGAATATTGGTTTTGTAAAAGCAGTAACAAGCCACTCAACAAATGGCAGAACTTTTACTTAGAAGATGAATTATTGTATGAGGACGCCGATGTGAACCTTCCGTGGAGCAGGTGTCGGAAGGATGCTGGCCTGGTTCGCTAAGTTTTCCTTAGCCCTCTAGATAGGACCACTCAGTGTATCACTTGGGATATATATGTGAGCAAGGAGAAGAATGGATGCTGGAAAAGCAGGGTTTTCTGTGGCTTCCTTGGAGATTCCTGGCTTTTAGGCATCTGTGGGGTCCACTGGAGATTTTCTTAGTTTCTGTGCTGTTGAAACGAGATGAAAACTCAGGAGCTTGGCCAACCAAAATGCTCTGTGCCAGGCTTAATGGTATAAACTCATCTGCCAGCCATGGGGTTCAGCGGTGGTTGCATCCTTCCTTTCCTTCCTTCCTTCCCATGACAAGGTGAGGTGGTTGATGTGTTAATCCGCTAGAGACATTGGCACTGCTTTGTAATTTGGTCAAAACCGCAAGGCAACACTGCCACCTTTCTGAAGAAAAGAGGATGCAGATTTGTTTTGGGAAAAGCTACATTCGTTTCAAATGCACCCTTGCCAGTTCCTGTGGGGGGCAGGGGAGGGGTCTCAAGGGTTTGGTGAGGTTCTGGAGAGAATTGCAAAAGCAGATTCCTCAGACTAACCCTTCCTTCCTAAAGTGCAGACCAGAGGGAAGGCGATGTTTGCACCGCTCCTAATGCCTGCCTCATGCCTGCCTCGGTAGGGGCCTGGCGTCTCCCGGGTACCCCCTGGAGCGCCTGAGAACTCCAATTGCGGCCTCGTTTTTTTCTTAAAGCTTGCACAGGCTTTTGAGTCCCAGGAAGGGTCGCTTTGGGAAACATGGTATCAAAGCAGACACGGGCATGCTTAATCCTCCACCTGTGATAAACAGGGTCGCTGGGGTCTGGACTCGGACGGAGTCGGTTGCACATCTGAGATGCAAGGGGTTGATAATCTGCAAGACAGAGGAGAAAAACGGGCAGAACGTAAAACTAAGTAAATGCCATGTTGAGGACGGTGACTATTCTCTCTGGACATAATGATGACTGTAGCTGCACCGCGCCCCCCCCCCCCCCCCCCCCAGAAGCCCGGCTGGCAGCACGCTTACAAAAGGGCCTGCCTCTGCCTGAGAGAACTTGGTTTACTTTGTGGCTAACAACGGATTAGGAAGGCTTCTTCTCTATTTTGATTTCTCTCCTTCTCCCTCTCTTTTCTTTTTCTCTTCTTTTCGTTCATGAGCTACTCAAAATGTAAACTCATAAAATTCTGACTGCCAATGTTTGCTTTGATAGTAGACCCTGATGTTACGTATTTCATTAAAATTAGTTCAAAAAAATAAATGAAACTAATCTGCTCTCTGATCGTAGAAGACTCCCCGTATTCTAGGGCTTGTTTTAAGTGAGCAGATAGCCGCTTTGACTCTGAAGTTGACACGTGTGGCAACAGCATCCAGCCGGCTTCCTGGAAGCGATATTCGATAGTCGAGTGACCTTGTTATTCAGCACAAAATCATGCCACCGGAGTAGGCAGCTGTGAGAGTCTCCATGTACGAACATGCTTAATGACATAAACTCATCTTATCTGAGAGGCACACAGTTTCGCCGTTGAGTGTGTGGGCCCAGAACCAAACTAGCTGGGATTTTTAGCGGGCACCTTTACTTACTAGCGACCTAGCCTTGAACCTTAGATAAACTACAGGATTCCCTCTGCCTCGGCTTGCCTCATTTGAATAATGAGGACGATAGGGTTGTTGTGATGATTAAATGTGATTATATAAGTAAACCACTAAGGAAAATGCCTGGCGCTTAGTAAACCTTCAAAAAATATTGTTCTAATATTAATGTTGTTCGGCTGCCGGATTCTATATTGGTCACTTTTTCTCTGAGTCTTGGTTATTTAGTCTGTAAATGTCAAGGTTGGACTAGATGATTTCTCAGATGCCTTAGTAACATTTTATGGTTCTCTGAAAACACAGAAAGATCGGGAACAGGCAAAATTGTGATTGGGCTGTGTAGCACCGGGTACTTATGGTAAGCAGGCCTGCAATAGATAGCATTAGTTTTAAACTCACTACATTTTTACTGTTTATAGTCTCACTCTTGTTTTGTCAATCAAGATACTGTAATCGGTATCACTGTCAACAATTTTCCTCAATGCCATGGTCCTCGTGTCAACAAAACACAAGGACTTATATGTATGTATGTACACACACACACACACACACACACACCATGCACAGAGATCAAAAGGAGAGGGAGAGGGCCAGTAATGGATTTTGCTTCTAAAGAACTACTGTTTCGCGTTCATTTCTTTCTCTTTTTCTCCTTCTCCCATTCAAACAGCTCACACAAAGGCAGACTTGGGTGCCTGCATGAGCATGCCTCTATCCCCCACAAACTTGGGGATGTCAAATTTAGCAAATAAAAATACAGGGGCCCAATTACACTTGAATTTCAATTAGACAACGATTATTTTAGCCACTGTGATATTGAGGGCATGCTTTTATCTGAAGTCCAAACTGAACGAGGCACTCTGTGTGTTCTCTGGGAACCCTACCTACAATCTCAGCCGTGTTTCACCAACACCCTCTGCTGCCCCGTCCAATATCCTATCAAGCCCTCGAGATTCCGGTGCCAAAAGACTCTCCAAATGGCAAACCTTGCGTTTTTGGCACCAAAGCAGACTGAAACTCGGAATGAGGAGCTGGTGCCATGAGCTTGAGCTCTGGGTCCTGGGGGTGCAGCAGCACATGGATTAGGGAGGAACATGAGAACTTCCCTTCGCTTTCTGAGAGGAGGAGGAGGAAGAGGAGGAGGAGGAGAGGGAAGAGGAGAGGGAGGAGGAGGAGCAGCCAGCAGACAGGCTGTTCAGGTTCAGGGGCTCCGGGACTTGGGGCCGCAGCTGAAGGAAGCCAAGGAGCATGCAGAGCAGGTGCTGGGGAGGCAGAGCGGCCTCAGCTCAGTGCTGCGCGGTGGAGCGCACCAGCTCCACAGGCTTCACCGGCCTGACCGGCCTGCAGAGTCCTCCGTTGCTGTTTGTCCTTCCAGGGAAAGCAAGGGACATCTCAGGACCCCACAGGCCATCCTCTCTGTGTTTCTCTGTCCTCCACCCTCCAGGTCACCTGGAAGGACTGCTTATTTCTGCTTTAAGCTGCATCCTTAACATCTCCGAGACGGAATGTTTTCTGTTAAAAACACAGAGGACGCTGCACTAAGCAGCTGGCCCCGAGGTTCTGACCCTATGGACGCTATTGAAGAAATTTCCACCATGATCTCAAGAGAAGTTCAGGCGCTGGCACTACCTGCATCGTGAATTCATTGTATGACCTGGGACAAATATTTTAACCTAGTGCCGTATTATGGAAAAGGCACTCTTCTGGGTTAATTATTTGTCTGAGGCTATAAAACTAACTATGTAAAGATATAGGTATAGATATGGGGGTATACATTTTTTTCTTTACCTCATTTAATTAACCTCTTTAGGCCTCATTTTTGTCATCTACAAAATAGAGGATTTGGGCTGTTCATCCCTGGAGTGGCTTCCTCTAATGTTTGGCATTTTTCCAAGTGAATGGCCCTAAGGATTTTTGTAAAGTTTTGTAGAGTGTAAGCTTTACAAACATATTACGGTGAGGTTTCTGCTATTGTATTCTCAGGGAAATTAACATAGATTTCTTAAATGAATGAATGAATAACTTATACCTACCATTTTCATAAATAACACGGTGGTATTCAAGAAAATCACTTCAGTTGTCTCACAGGTTCAGTCTTCTTTTCAAACTTTCACTGACAGCTTTTGGGGGTGAAGCCTACTGAAGCACAAATATCTTAACGCGTCCCCAATTCCATTTTGCTATTGAAATGAGCAGTAGAAATTATTCTAAAGTTTGGGAAAACTTGTTCCATCAAAATTTTTCAGGAATTTCTACTGGATGTAATCAGAATAGGAGGAAACTAAGGGCAAATTGTCACCATGGGCTTCTGCACAACGTGTTCATAGCTGAACTTCCCCTTTGCTGACAACCACTAATCCCCTTCTCAGCAATTGCATTTGTTTCCTATTTGTTCTGTAGTAAATTACTACAAACTTGGCGGTTTGGAGCAGCACAGCTGTGTTATGTCACAGGTATGGAGGTCGAGTCTGAAAAGGGCCTCGCTGGCCCA